AGATATAAAAAGCATAAAAATAGGAGAAATGATTTTCTTGAAGCTGTTTCCATAGTCAGAAAAGACACTAACTTGGATGTTACAACCCTGTTATAACAAGTTGTCCCCAGGGAAATTTCCAGTAATGTAAAAATATAATATGGCCTTCAATATAGAGTCGGGCCAGTTATATGCCAACTGAGAAATAGGCAGCAGATACAGGCGACCTCAATTTTTATTCCAGTGCCCGTCATTGAAAGAAATCTTGTTTTACACATTAACCATATTGCAGTTTAACTCTTTCTACAGTATGAGAATTACTTCCTCCAAACTCACCTGGGGGCTTGAGAAATCATTGCTAGACATTCAGGGCCATCTTGCTAGTGGCACCAAGGCCAGACGAGTTGCTGTGTTCTCTCCCTTTAGAGGCCCTGAGATGGAAACCAGAAGCAAGCCCCAGCTTCTAGTGCTCCTGACACTTTGCAGTGTCCTCTTCACACACACACTGGCCTGGCCTCTTTTTGGAGCACCCCCTTCTCTGAGGTGAGTACTATTTCAATTCAGATACTTAGACACTCCTTTCTCAGATGCATGGAAATCTCCTGCATATCATTTTTTACAACTCAAATTTTAAAATTATATATTGTTTATTTGCATCTCTTGGTTGATTTGTTGAGCAAAAGTTTTTCAGCATCAGGTCAATGGGATTATTTCAAGTCCTAGAATTCACCCTCAGAGCACTGGGGACAATGCTGGTGATTAGTTTATGGATGAGGTGGACAACATTTGAAAATTGTGGGATAAATGATTTACTGAGACAACTTCCAATGAATAAATTATAATTACTTGCTTTTAACTATAAATTACTAATTCCACTGACCTATATGTTGTATTGCATATTTTAAATTAATAAAACATAACTCATAAAACTTTATCTGAGATAAAATACATTTCTACTAAACAACCAATGAATGAAAACTACATTAGCTTGATTTTTCCTTCTAGTTTACAGACACCACCATATATAAGAGAAAAATAATAATTTGTTTGCCTGTTCTTAATTCTCGGCTCAAGATAGAATAGGTTCACTTGAGTGAATAATATTTTAGATGTTAGGGTTTTCTGTGAAACCAGCTTAAAGTTCTTGCTTTGATAACCAAATTGAATGTTTCTATCTGAATGGTTATGTCACAGCAGATGAACAACCACAAAAATGTTGAAAGGTGCATTGACTACTAAGACAGCTTATTACTGACCATGACATCATCAAAAGATACACAAGTGCCCAGGAGCTGACACATTCATGGAAGTTTATCTCAATGGTGTCAACACACACAAATGCATCATTTAAATAGAGTACTGGTGTTCAAATATGTGTGCTCCACAAGTAGTGGTTGTATTCCTTATGTATGACTGTTCTTAGTCTCCTAGTAGAGCACCATACATTCCTTATTAACATTTCATCAATACACAAGACTAGAAATCACAACATCCCACAAAATTTATGGAGTTTGAGTAATGATGCATGGATGAATAGATTCTTCTGACTTAAACAATAAACGGAAATGTAGCTGGCTAAGATGAAGCTCTAAAGCAAAGTTGAGGGACCTAGAGAGAAAAAACAGAAAAAAAAAATTCATGCTCAGTTCTTGATGTTTGGAACAAGTGATACTACAGTCAACACATGCACAAATGGCTCTGATTCTTAATTTTGAATACGCAAATGCAATGCACTGCCATCGAGTCGGATCTGACTCATAATGACCCCTCCTTGGGTTTCCCAGGCAGTATCGCTACTGAAGTAGATTGCCCAACTTTCCTTCCGAGGAGTGGTTGGTGGGTTTGAACTGCCAGCCTCCTGGTTAGCAGTCAAATGCCTTAGGCACTACGCCACATTAAACAAAATTCCAACTTCCTATTTTGCATAAAAAAAAATTACTGGTAAAATTTTTTGACTTTGCAAAGTGAAGACGTTATCAAAGAAGTGTATGTTCCTTAACACTCAGATAGGATTGGGCAAAGTAGCTCTTATATTTGATTCATCTAGCTAGTATAAGTTTCTTGACATCTTTGTTATATAATCAAAAATTTTAAACTTTATGTGCTTATAAACCACAGAGGCCAATTATGCTATCCATATATTATAAATGAGTGATACTTCCCAAGGTGTTGAGTTTCTTATTTCAAATTGTCATAGAATTAGAAGCATTATCTTCTAGGAAAGGATGGATTATACTTCTATTTTTCCCTACTAGGTTGGGTGACAGAATACCATTTGAAGGAGCAAATGAACCTGAGCAAGTCTCATTAAACGCAGAGAATGATGTCTTGCAAAACGCATTAGCTGAAAATGACACACCCTATTACGATGTGTCCAGGTGAATTTATTAAGTTTTGTTTTTTAAATATAAATGTTTTAGTTTTGTCTCACTCCGAAGCTATTTCCTTAGCATATTGCTATAGGCTTCTACGTCTTTGTTTTATTCACCTGATTGACTGCAGCTCCATTGACTGTACATTACTGTAGAAAGGTTGTATCAAGTCAATAATTTCAAGTATCCTCAATTTTTTTGGTAAATTATTTGCTTAGTATAGGAATATGTCTAAAGGCAGTCCCAGAAAAGGCAAAACCTTATTGAATTATTCCCTGTTCCACTAGCCTTAGGCTCAGTGTATTTTTCTTTCATTCACTTACATTCTGTTGCAGAATTTCAGCAACACAGATTGTTCCAAGTTTGGTAACGCCATAGCAGTAAGTATTCCACAATGAAGTAGATTCTAATGGAAGAAATTCATTTCAATGAAGGAAAAGGTTTCTAATAGCTAGCTGTTTATTCCTAGAGCTATTTGTCCAGAGCAGTATTCAAAAACACAGTAGCTCTGTGGTGAGGACAAAGTACAAAAGGTGTCTCACCTTCATGAAAAGGATGGACAATATCCCTGAGACCCTCTGTATATTAAGAGATTTTTGTTCCACACAATATGGCAGAAGAAATAAGAATTATAAAAAAAAAAAAAAGTCAGGGTATTTTCTTCATGCTTATACTTTTGTTT